TATACATTTCCCAACTAATTCGATATTCAAGAGCTTGCAGCTCTTACTCAGACTTTGGAAAACGTCACCAGAGTCTGAGCAGAAGTTGATGAACCAGGGGTATGTCAAAGAACGTCTCGTCCTTTTTCTAAAAAAGTTCATCGGAAGGTACCAAGACCTTGTTGATAAATATTCCGTATCAACTTCACAAATAATACATGATAGTCTTGATGTATAGATTCTGCGTACTGACGTTGTTTATCATCTTAACAACGTGTTATTTTGTTCTTTTATTTGTCTTTGTTCAATTATTAATATTACTTTTACTGTTTAGTCTGTGTTCTGTGATATCCATTTGACGTGGCTCGGTACTTATGCATCCCGTCAATGTGTTTGTATTATCTTTCATTTTTGCTGCTTTCTGTGTTTCTTTGATTCATATGACGTGACTCTGTACTTTTAAAGATCCCGTTATTATGTTATTGTTCTTTTATTTGACATTTTGTTATTGTTCTAATATAAATTTGAAAATACTTTGAACGACAAACGACAAAATTAGTTTACTCGCGTAGTGGTATTAACCATATGTGGATTCTTAAAAATTCTAAAGAACTTCTGGATAATTTTAAATCTCTGTCTGTTTCTGAAATTAGTTCTAACACAACTTTTGATTTTTTAACCCTGTATACCACCATTCCCCATGTGAAATTATAATTTTTTTTTAAAATACTTTGAACGACAAAATTTCTTCCTATGTGACGTTTACATTTTCTGACGTCAGACACGCGAAGCAATGAATGTGTTTTTTTAATTTTATAGATGCTTAACGATGTTGTTGTCCATTCGTTTGATGTGTTTTATCATTTGATTTTGCCGTTTGATTGGGGACTTTCCGTTTTGAATTTTCCTCGGAGTTCAGTAATTTGTTATTTTACTTTTTTGTGCTTTTTTGTTAAATATTTGTTTGTTTTGAGATTGTGACACAGTGATGACTGCTGTACCCATATTATGACTATTTTATCTTTTATGTCTGTTTTGTTCACGCATCGTTGTAAATATAACGGAATTTGATGCGACTGTCATACAAGTGAGAGGTTTAGCGCTATAAAACCAGGTTCAATCCACCATTTCTACATTTGAAAATGCCTGTACCAAGTCAGGAATATGACAGTTGTCCATTCGTTTGATTTGTTTTATTATTTGATTTTGCCATTTGATTAGGGACTTTCCGTTTTGAATTTTCCTCGGAGTTCAGTATTTTTGTGATTTTACTTTTTTGCTATTAGTTAATTGGATCTATTACGAATTCAACCAGTAAAACTGGATACTCTGACTATTTCTCATTTGTTCAAAACTTATTCCCCTAACAGGTTATCAATGACAATGCGTACCAAATTGTCTTGCTTTTACATCTTGGCTATCTGAAAGGCTTCCAAAGAACAACACTAGCAAGAATCCCTTAAGAAAAAACACCGTATTCCCTTAACCAAGTAATCGACATTGTTTATATGTTCTATAAAGAAATATCTGGTTAGAACACCTTAAGTATTCTTCAAGTGTGAAGCAATGTGTGAAACAGAGATTGCAAAGATAACGCTGATACAATTATATAATGCTGATTCATGTAAACTATTGTTAACATTGTAATTTATTTTTGTAAAACACACTTATTTACAGTGGGTTACTGGAAATCAAAACTTTACGGCAATAAAGGATGATAGTAAGCTTGCGAATTGTAAATTTTCCCTATCTTTTAAGCAAAATTCCAGCAGTGCATTCATATAGAGTTTATATCTGCTTATTGATACTGTAATCCAGATCTGCCATTTCCTTTCATGATTTCCATTGCCGCTTACAATGAAGCTTTAAACAAATGGACAAAATTAAAGTCTTCTCATCAAAAGTTCGCCATCTCGAATAGATTGACCGTTTTGGGATATCTGTTTTGCAACTAACAACCATATGGATTTTGCTGCAACTTGGTATAAATCATAAGTGGACATTGTATTTAAAGCAAACCCTATTGTGTGTACTCGATTGTACTTTCAAATGAACGTTGTACGAACGATATGCATTAGAACTTGCAGTCAAAGACAAAGAGTAGCTCAAATACAAAGCACAATTACTATCTATCTACTTTCACATGTAATATTTTTCTCACAATATAGAACAAATAGGTTGGATATTTTCGGGCAGGCATTTAGAAAACTTGAAAAAAATAAGAGCTATTCACCATACAAAATGAACTTGAATAATAAATGTTATCATGCATTGATGTTAAGTACAAAAGCCTAATCGGCTGCATATGGGATTAAACCTTATTTGACAAACCGACTGTGATAATATCTCATAAAAGGACATACATACACATACATTAACACCAACAAGGTTATAATCAATTTTAGATAATTTTTATTTCATTCTTTATTTTTTCGCATTTTTCAATACAGTAATATATTGTCCCTTATTGTTTTCATCGAAAGTGACAACCCAATTAGAATTATGAAAGGGTTTGTACTTCCATAATCATCACCACGAGTGCAACGTGTGAAAGAGGACCTGCGTACCATTAGAGAGCACCCGAGATCACCACCGTTTTCCCTGGGGTTTGTGATGATCAGTCTTCAGTTTTTATATGTAGTGTTTTGTACACTGCATGTTGTTCTGTTGTTTTTGATTTTTAACCATGGCATTGCCATTTTTTCCCCGACTAACACATGACTAATGCGTTTGAGTATTCATTTGCTATATCTATATTGTCTTTCATTTACATAGCTAAAATTACCCCAAACAAAATTGTTATCTCTTATATTTTTATATTTTTACTAGTTATACAACATGTACAAACAAACAAAAAACAACGAGTGTTCTGTTTTAATAGAAAATCATTTCGTTTCAAGCAAAAAAATATTCCACTGTAATGATCGGGATAGATCACTAAGATAATAATCACTCATCAAAAATCATACAAGTACTAATGAAAAATCTTTACAATTTTGACATGTTAACGTATACATGTGTACAACTCCTATCGGTAATACGTGTTTATAAAAAAAGAGGCGAAAGATACCAGAGGGACAGTCAAATTCATAGATCGAAAATAAACTGACAACGCCATGGCTAACAAAGAAAAAGACAAACAGACAAAAAACCTAAAAACTAAAGACTAAGCAACACGAACCCCACCTAAAACTGGAGGCGATTAAGGCTTACTAGTTCATATAAGATGAGCTATATTTTAATCGTTTCTCACCATAGATCAAATACTGTCAGCTTAATTGATGAAATATAGACTTAAGACAATTTGATACTCAACGTACATGTCTATAAAACAAATAAATCAGAATAAATGTTCTGAGTCTAAAACGCTTAAATAGAATAACATTCATCAGAAAAGCTGAAAATCTTAGACAACAACCCAGTGATGAATAGTACCAACACTCTTTCAGGAACACTATGATCAAGATATGATTGATAACAAATTGTAGTATAGCAAGCACAGATTTCAATGACGAGCACGTATCGAAAAAAATGCAAATTTTATATGATCAGAACACAATGGGGCAGACATATGCAAATTATACAAAGAATTTAAGATTGTGGTATTGCTTTTTTCGAAAATTGAAAATGGCCAATGCTGTGTAGCAAAACTTGTATCATGTTGTTCGTTGACATATATTGCTTTCAGTGTTTTTCCCAAATTTGCAGAGTTTTATCATATTTTCCTGCTTATGTTTATCGATAACCCGATATCTATTAAATTTGTTGTGTGGTCATTCTGCAATAATCAACTTTTAATTTTAGGACACATGACATATTTGCATCATAACCGCGATGTGATGCATCAAACATTAACCTCATGAGATGTCAAAATTAATGAAAACGTCTTATAATATTTGCTTTTATTGTGCGCAAGAACTTTGCTATTGTTTTAAATGCAGGGCGTCTGATGAATTATTATTGCTTACTTATGTTAGTCACAGTATCCAAATTGCACCGAGTAATCAAATTGCACCTATTTAGCCATCGGAGCAGTGTAAAAATTGATTTAGACTAAACAATTTTTATTTCTATGACTTGATATTCTGCACGTATTTCAACATAGGAAAATATACAGATGTATGTAGATATGCACAAAACATTCGCAGTATATTAAAATAGATAATTATTTACTGGAAGATATATAATCGATTGAATCGTCGACATGCGACGTCAAGAAAAAATCCTCTTTTAAAAATGAGCAAATAAAATGTTAAAAGCACCCATTTCTTAATATATGAATAGTAAGCATGTCAAATTGGTCTGAATATTTAAAGAAATCAAACAAAACTCTGCTTAGGGTGTGAATTCAAGCATGGATGCAATTGGATACTTCAAATTACAGAATCATTGACTATTTGTAGGTCGGTTCAAACCCATTTTTTATGATATAGTATGGATTAAAAATTTAATTGGTGGAACTATATAGTAAATAAGGATGCATCTACAAAAAAAAACCCTGATTGGGAACTTTTGTCTGGATCATAAATAGACATAGGAGAAAAAAAACCTGTCAAAATAGGTGCAAATTGGTCTCCTTACTATTGCCTACGTTATAGATAAATGTTGAAACTAAAAGAAAAAATATCTTATTCAATATATATGTCTGATTATGAGTTTGATCACGATGAAAAAACACGAGCTAACCGCTGCCAACGTATATTTTCTCACAACCTGATGTGTAATGTTGGAAGAGTATCTGTATCATTTGTATTATGAAATTGAAATATTGATCTATAAGCATTTCATAATAATAATGTCATATATTCTTTTCATTGACTGATCAAATATACGTGTGGTGTCTTGTGGACTGCTGTTTGTCGTGATGCCTTTTTATATAAACTAGGAACAACAATAGCTTGATTGTTGAACTTTTCCGATTTTTTTAAAACTTTGATATCTCATTTTGTTTTATGTATTGACATTTTGTTAAAACAAAATATAACTTTTATTTTTTTTGTAAATCAAATATCTTTCCAACTTCTTACAGTCTATTCCGCTAGTATTCAGTCAGTCAACGGAAAAAATAAATGATGAACCATTGATAATATCACTACGGACATACTCTTATTTTGATATAGTATTTCCCGGTTTCTCAATTTTTATTTACTTCTTCATATACTGGTGTACTGGCTTCATCAATGACACAAGTTTGATTTGTTGTTGCTGTTAAATTCGTATGCTTTTTATTGTCGAGATCCTCGTATGTTGTCGTTGAAAAGTTCACACGACTAGTGTCTTCATAATTATGAGTATTCGAATCTGTAAAAATCCCCTTTGATCTGTAAGTCAAAAGCACAAAACATGATATAGGTACAAATTAGATCTTAATGGCCTGATAAAATCATGACTTTGTTGAATCTATAAACTTGTATTGTCTGAATCGTGTGCTAGCCAATAGTGTACATGTAAATGTACTGTAAACAAATTTACTTTCACGGATACTTTTTTGGGGGTTTAGCCCATCAATGCCAACTTCACGGCGAATTAATTTCTTGATTTTCAAATCTACCAAATGTAGTAAATTAAAAAAAAATCCAATTTTAACATTTTCGCGTTTTTTTTCTACAAGCTAAAGCCGAGAATAAAAATTGCTATGTGTGTCTTTATTCTACATTGGCTAGAGGTATAAAGGGGAAGGTTGAGATCTCACAAAACATGTTTAAGCCCGCCGCATTTTTGTGCTTGTCCCACGTCAATAGCCTCTGGCCTTTGTAAGTCTTGTATGTTTTTTTTAGATTTTAGTCCATTTTTATGTTTTGGAATTTAGAGTGACTTTTATTTTTACTGAACTAGTACACAATTTAATTTAGGGTCCAGCTAAGGACCACCTCCGGGTGCAGGATTTACTCTCTGCGTTCAAGACCAATTGGTAGCCTTCGGCTGTTGTCTGCTTTTTGGTCGTGTTGTTGTCTCTTTGACATATTCCATATCTATTTTATATGCATTGATATTTTTTAAATAACTTTAAATATACAACTGCACTTGCAAACATATAATCTTTAAAGTCAGTACAGAATGTATATATTATCTTTTACCAAGTATTTGAGGATTTAAGCTATAAAGAGTGACCCAATGTTTTTAAAATCATTTGAAAGATTTCATCAGAATAAAACCATTGAAAGTAATTTATTTTGTTGTTAACAGTTTTACTCACCTCACTTTGCATACAATCAGCACAACTAACACAATAATCAAAGAACATGCACCTAGTGTACCACCAATCACTGCATCTATTGATTTGAATAATATGTTAACAAAATATATGGCGGGAAAATATGAACAAATTGAATTAATCAATGACTAATGTTAAAAATATATTGTTAGTTCAATTGGGTGTACACTGATTCTTATTCTTATTGTTATGAAACATTAAGGTAATGTTTTTTTGAAATAATGTCTTTTTTGGTGTGAAACAGGACAATGTTTTAAAAGCTGAACAAGCATTGATAAGCAGACATTATCGAACAAAGAAATAAAGTAGAGCCAAAAACACTCTTTTTTATCAAGGAGAGACAAAAGATACCAACGGAACATTCAAACTCAAACGTCATGGCAAAAAAAAAAAAACAAATACAAAAAATAAAACAACAGTATTCAAAAGATAACATAGAAATCAAAAGACTAATAAAAACTGGAGGTGATTTCAGATGCTTCTGAAAGGTAAGCAGATCCTGCAACATATGTGGCACCCGTTGTGATGCTCAAAGGTGTGCACTAAGAATGGAATCATTGATTTCTATTTGATTTTGATACTTATTTATCGAAATATCCCTACAATTATGCCGGTATTGACCACAATTCATAAACTGGTCTTGGCGTGTGACAAAATTGATGCCTTATATTCCACAAACAAATGTACAACCGTTTGACTTACAATTAAGAAAATAAAGTGCATTGTAAATGATGACTTAATTTTGTGAACCCACATTTTTACATTCGTACTTAAAATTACACCCAAACTTTTACAGAATATGATGTATAGTTGCAACAAGCTGAAGTGCATCGACAATAAACACTCTAAGTGATGAATGCTTCCTAAAAAAGGCCATTAAGCGTGATAATTTATCAATCTTATGTTTATGTTACTGTTTAACGGATACTCTCTATTAGTTATAATGTTCATGTTGTATAAATAAACTGCCAATTCTGACTTTTTTACAATCGATCTTTTGAAATACATGTTCAAAACTGTCAAGCATTATTTAGTTATTTTGCAGTAAAGTACACACACAAAAAAAAACGATGCCTGCACCAAACCATTGCAATAAAAGTATTTGTAAATGCATGTCAACGACAGAAGTTATGAAATGTTATTTATATCATTTAATTAACCAGTATGACTTTATGGTATTCCCTTTGTTGCAATGTTTATTTCCAAAATCTTGTTGATCCGTCATTTGCTTGCGTAAACTTATTAATTTAGTCGGAACAACTCGCGATTTCTTCCATTTAAAAAAAAATATCAGCAATAGAAACAAATTTCTGGTGTGAAATCACGAAAACTTATATTTGTGATTAAAACTACTTATCCAAAATTAAATACACTAAAATATATGTAAATGAAATGCTAAACTTTTTGATCGATAACAGTTTATATCATATAAAGAACAAATATCTATAATTCAAACAAAAACATTTTCAAGTTATATTATATCATATTAAGATATAAAGATCAAGTTTTGTCATTCAAAGATCTACACTTCAGCGCGTGCATGAATCTTATACACCATAGTTGTCTATGACTTAAAAATTCGAACGAAATGGAAGTTTAATGAAGGAAAACACTCTTACTTATATCAAAACTAGCGTTAGAACCTTTCCTTGTAGCAAGTGTGTTTTGACTTTTGGTTGAAGTAAATTCGTCACCTACAAATTAAATGTGAATTAAACGATCATGTTTATACTTTTGTTATTGCATCAAAACATATAAACCAGATTCCTAATTTTGTGTATAACAAATTATGAATACATAATATCGTTTGAAAATATGTTCTTTGTTCACAAAAAGTTATTTGAACTTTATTTTAAATTGAAGATAAAAATCTCTAATCATTGTTCTGACTTATAAAAATGATCACTGAGGATATTTTTTCGCATCTTGTTAATCAGGTTGCCTCAAATATTTATTGAAATATCGATGAAATCTCCTCATTCAATTGTGACTTGATAAAAGAATTATGACCACGCAGGACTTCTTTCGACCACGTGTCTAAGTGGAGTGTCCGTTTGATTGTGTGGGATCTACAAGTGCATAGCCACATCAAGTCAGAATGGGAACTTTAAATCCGATGCCTCTTGTAGAAAGAGTAACGCGTTATCCACACGTGTAGAACCCTTGCAGCAACTATTTGGTGTGGTCCGCATGTGGCTTTTGTAAGGCATAATTTCTGTCCCTATCCAATATACCTTCATTTTCGAGTAGTAGTTTCATGTTTTCCCGCTCATCAAACCGGACGGCCTCTGTTTCATAACCTGCTTAGTGTATTGTCAATTTCGTCTCGTCCATTATATATATGAAATAATTTTGAATTCATAGACATACATTTTTGTCCTGATTAACCATACAATTTCGAACAACTTAATAACATAATATATGTTATTCTAACCTGAAACTATCTCTTGAATTTTTTTTAAATCATCTCACTTAGCATGGTTTAAGCAAAGAAACGAAACGATAATTTAAGCCAAATATGTGGATCTTTTTTCTGTCGCAAGTGAACTACTTCATACTATAATCTCATTAAACATGACTATTATAAACATGCTTGTAAGTGACATTCCTTTTAACCCATCATATAATGTTAGACGATATCAATTGATTGCGCATAAATGTATATTGTATATCAAATTAATTGACGCTAATAACTCATTAACAGCTCTCGTATGGTTTTAAGGCAGAATTAGTGAAATAACCACTTCACAATTTATATGGCCACCTTAACGACCGTAACAACCTATCATTGTCAGTATTATAACTCATGAGAGTCTTTTTGTTTTCTTTCTGTTGTTGAGGAAATCACTAGATAACACCACATTTTGTCTTGTTCACATCATTTATCCAATATAGCATTAAATGCATACAATTCAGTTTTCATTCCACGGTGATTTGTTTACGAAATTAACAAGCAAGCTATTTTTCAACCTATATTTTCAAATATATAATAACAGATATACCTTCATGTGCTTCTTTTAGAAAAATTATGGGGTCAAAATTTGAAACATTTACTAAATGTTTCTTGGACATTTCAATCCTTTGGGACAACATTCTTTACATTTCTGTTTCAAAGATAAACGAAAGCGCATGTTTGTATCTTTCTTTTGTATCTTCTCTATAAATGTATGCTTTGAATATCTGTCACAATTCTTATTTTTTATCAAATTATCATGATTTTAGAACGGCATTTTTCAATATCTAATCGGTAATTGGTTTTAATAAATTGGCACAAATAATCTTCACCCATAATCAAGCTAAATATCATTTTAAGATAAATCATTTTGAACCATAAAAATCTGGGCCCTGTTGTTCAACTTGTCGTTAAATTAAACGAGTCGTTAAATTTTACTAATCACTGCGTTAAATTTAATCAGTCCATTATCATGTTGTTCAACTTGTCGTTAAATTTAACGAGTCGTTTAAAATTGTCAAAGTGTCGTTATATTTAATCGACCTCATTGAGGTTGATTAAATTTTAATCAGTTGATTAACCTCAATCTAAGATGGCTGTCAATGTATTGTTTCAACCACCTGTTGTAAGGAGAGAGCGACATTTTCGTGGCTTTGACCCTCTTGAAAGGGAATTTTCTGATGAGGAGCTAAGGCAGAGGTATAGATTTGGCAGAGAGACCATTGAGTACTTGTCTGATTTAATGAAAGGGGATCTGGAGCGTGGGACAAATAAGGAGACAGCCCTTTCAGTGGAACAATAGGTTATGATTGCCTTGAGGTTTTATGGCAGTGGATCTCACTTGCAAGTTGTTGGGGACACAATGGGATTTGACAAATCAACTGTGTCTCGGGTGATCGACCGTGTGACGGAGTTATTAGTTGCCAGGAAGGACGAGTTCATATCGTGGCCAGATAACCAGAGGAAGAACGTAATTAGGGCTGGGTTTTATGAAAAGGCTGGTTTTCCAAACGTGGTTGGATGCATTGATGGGACCCACATAAGGATTACTGGGCCTAGCATTGATGAACCAGCATTTGTTAACAGAAAGGGGTTCCACAGCATCAACGTACAAGCCATTTGTGACCATGAAGGTAATTTAAAACACTATATTCTACCTATTTTATGTGTACAACATGCATTGTGTGCGTCCTTTTTCTTGACATCTTCAATCGTCCTTGACCATATACAATATTGGCTGGTTTTCTGTTGAACTGGTTTTCAGCTAATTTGAAAGTTGATGGAAAAAGATAGACAACTCATTTTTGTCATATACTTTTTATTGGATCCTTAAAATCAATGCGTTTACCGTTTCACTTTCAAATATGATGGATCGAGTGAACTGCTAAGTGTTTATGATCGTTTATGCTTAATGCATAAATTTATTGATCAAAATAGTTTTAAAGATGTGCCCTTCCACCCCTTATCTGCTTCAGGTAGAATTTGGTCAGGCTTAAACTTTGAAACGACAACGTTAATAGTGTGCCTCACGTAGTTTGCAGAAATTCTGGATCTACCTCTAAATGTTTCTGTGTCAGAGGAGACAGAAATCACCCCCCCCCTCCCCCCAAAAAAAAACACCACCAAACAAAATGATTGTTCAATAATCAAAATATTTCGCCCCCCCCCCCCTATTCTTTCCGGTTGGGAAATAGTGTAGGTGACCAATCCCCAAGCCAGTCATTGTTCAATACATTTAAAAAAAGGGAGCATAACTTCTATGCAATGTATTGTTTATCTGAATTGTTACTATACATATTTTGTTTTCACCACATTGCAAATTCGGCCAATATTGTAATGACTGGAACTATAATGGACAAACTATGCATGCATAAAAAAGAAGATGTGGTATTATTGCTAATGAGACAACTCTCCACAAGAGATTAAATGAGAAATAAACAGCTATGGGTCACCATACTTTATTCACAATCACTGTCTTGCTTTGCATTGACAAATGAATTATCACGGAACCTACTTTTTCCCCTTTTTTAATTATCATAATTTTGTTTAAAGGTAGATTCACCAACATCAGTGCTAGGTGGCCAGGATCAGCACATGATTTTCATGTTTTCAGAACCTCAGCCATAGGACAACATCTTGAGAATGGATATCAAGGAATTGGACAAGGTGTATTGTTAGGAGACAGTGGCTATCCCTGCAGACAGTTTTTGCTGACACCATACAGACAACCAGCTGCTGGTAGAGGTCAAGCAAGGTTTAACAGAAGACATTGCTCAACAAGGTCAACAATAGAAAGGACATTTGGAATATTGAAGAAGCGCTTTCACATTCTAGGATCAGAGGTAAAATTAATTCTTTACAAATAATCATAATAGTACTAATATGAATATTTGACATAGTGTTTGCCCTTATATTTTAAAAGTTATGTTGTTTTTTTCTTGTGAGAGCTGTCTACCTAATCTTTCATTAGGGAGCTACCATTTGAATTTCATGGGGGGGGGGGGGGGGGGGGCTAGGATGAAAAATTGTCATCCTGCCTTTTTTTTTACCAAGTTGCTCATCCTGCCTTTTTTTTTTACTCAAAACTCCTGTCCTGCCTATTTTTTTCAAATTTCATCCTAGCCCCCCCCCCCCCCCCCCCCCCCAATAAAAATCAAATGGTAGCTCCCTTGGTACATATTTTCTATTTCTCTAAATTTTGGTTTAGGTATTCATAATTGTCCCCTTCTATGTCAGTTGCCTATAATTGCTTACATCCACTTAATTCATTTTAACTTTGTAGGATATATACATTTTAGTTATAAAATTGACAATCATACCAAATCTTCTTATTTTTATGTGTAAAAAAAAACCGAGAAAACTGAAAAATCAGTTGTATATTAAAGTGCCGTTAAAGCTGACCTCAGGAACACGTAAAATGTCAAGCCCTGACAAAAAGACAATTCATCACACAGATCAAAACCCTAAAATTATGCGGAGAACAGGGATCCAGTTGGAAAATTGGTAATGTTGGTTCGGTAAATTCAGGTAGTCCTGTTGGGGTAGATGCTCCAAGTTAGTCATTACTGTAACTATAATAAATCATGAATGAAACAGTACATCATCAGTTGGACTTTTTGCTCAGCTTCATACCTGATTTTGTCCTTTTTTCATTAACAGTGTTTTCAAATATGCACATGTCACATTGTGTTTCTGTAACTGAAAGTAATTTTTTTCGTAATAGATTTATTTAATCTCAGCCTTATTCATGAACAACGTTGCATCATGCTCAGTGGCGGATCCAGAACTTTTCATAAGGGGTGGGGGGGGGGGGGGGGGGGGTTACTGACATAAGGGGGGGGGGCCGCTCCAGTCATGCTTCAGTGATTCCCTATATAATCAACCAAATTTTTCCAACAAAAGGGGGCCCCCCTGGATCCGCCTATCATGCTACTTACAAATAGTATTTCTGTCACACTTTAAAATTAGAAATAAATGTTTTTAAATTGTATTCCAGATCCGTATGAAACCAGATAAAGCTTGCCGTATCATCATTGCTTGTGGTGTTCTGCACAATATTGCCATCATAAGGAATGTACCTGACGTTGCAGAAGAACAATTAATTGACAATCAACCTCAGATGCCACCCTATAATGGTCCACAGGACGGAAAAGGCATACGGGACCATTTTGCTACCACTTTTTTTGCCTAATAAATTGCATGTTTTTATTTTTTCATATTTTGATACATTGTCATTCATTAAAAAAATGAGGAAATTTGAAAATAGCAACAATTCTTTATATGATCACTTTGACGATCTGTCGACAGAGGAAGTGTGCATTTTCGGCTAAAAAATTGGTATAGTAAATGGTGAGCAGTTAGTCGCCTATGAAATCAAAAACCCAGTAGCCATGCAACTGTACTTCAGTATAAAAATAATAATATGTGGTATGCTTGCCAATTGATTATATCAATTACCATATGGTAAAAATTAAATTATTTAATGCCCAAAAAGGCGCAAGCCAGGTCCAACAGTGCAAGGGCTATATATAGCCAGTCAAGTTCATTTAAAACTTCCATCATCCTGATTGCCAATGAGACGATGGGGTATCCTGAAACAACAATTTACCCAAGACCAAATGTCCTCAATATTAGCAATTATAGGTTCCAGTGCAACAATTGTAAAACAATTCAGATAAGTTAAACCAATCGCCAGAATTATATAATAAATAAACCCAAAAAAAAACAAATATGAAATACATTAACAACAGACAACCATTAAAATTACAGGCTCCTGATTTTGGGAAGGTACATGTAGAAAAATTGCAGCGAGGATCTAAAGACATTTCATTCCTTGCAAGAAGTCAAAAACGAAACATCGGAGCTAGCTTCCTGTTCATGCAGTTGCATTATTACATCCTTAGATCATTGAGTTTTTGGTTGAAATACTTGTCATTTGTTTATAAGTTTTTGATTCATGCATCACTTAGGGAGCTACCATTTGATTTTTATGGGGGGGGGGGGGGGGGGGGGGGGGCTAGGATGAAAAATTTTTTCTTGCATTTTTTGTTAAGTGTAATCTCTGTCCTGCCTTTTTTTATTAGAGTATCCTGTCTTTTTTTACATAAATTGTCATCCTGCCTTTTTTTTTGCCAAGTTGCTCATCCTGCCTTTTTTTTACTCAAAACTCTTGTCCTGCCTTTTTTTTCTAATTTTATCCTAGCCCACCCCCCCACCATAAAAATTAAATGGTAGCTCCCTTATGATTCTTTGAATGATGGAGGTGCATTTGGTGTTGCTAAATTGTAATTACTATTTCCTTTTACATAGGAGTGTGTACACAAAATGAATTTGGTGGCCTCATAATAATTTCTAAAATAAAAATCAACAATATAACAATGAATTTAATACGTTCAAAACATAGAGGCAAGTGCCTGGGAGAGTGTGACCGGTTCTGAATTGCCACCCACTAACTTCTGCAAAAGCTCAATTTGGGGTTCCAGTTTGTTCTTTTCTAGGTCCATTTGAATGTTCTTCTTCTCTTGTATCACTAATTTACCCTGCAGTGCACGATACTGTATGTCATGTATGTCCTGCACTGTTACCTTTTTTTAGGGTGTTCTCACTATCCTACAAATAAAAAAAAAATTATGATTTTTTTAAAAGATTGAATAATTTTACAACTCTTTTTATTGATCGATACCCAGGCATAATTCCACCAAATAGCTACTTACAACTCGGGGGCCACTTTCTATATACAAAGTGATTGTACGACGTGCCGTTGGAATATGTCATGTTTTCCGGCTTGAAATATGTGAATAGGTGAGGGAAAACTATCAGAAATATATGAAAAGGTAAAAAATATTCCAATTACTTGTATACTAAAAAGCCCTGTCTGAGACTGTCATTTTTCACATCCTAAAAAGTCTCGCCGTAAGTTTAATTAACATTACATACAGAATCTTAGCCCTTATTTCATTGGCGGATCCAGAAATTTGCACAAGAGGGGGCCCAATCCAGTCATGCTTCAGTGATTCTCTATATAATCAACCAAATTTTTCCAACAAAAGGGGGAAGGGGTGGGGGCACAAGCCCCCTGGGCCCACCCACTAAATCTGCCTCTGAAATAACCACACGAAACAAAACAAATATGAGAAAAGGTTACATTATTAACTACGCAATATAGGAAAAGGACTATACATTTTTAATATTATAATTATATTAATAGGGTGGGATCACACTAGAACCCCAGCGGCACCCCTATCAATCAAGTATTGATCCCCCCACCACCACCACCACCATCCCCGATGCTTACTTAGGTGCTGAAATGACTAAAACTTGAATACATTTAAAGTTATTATAAGGAAATATATCACTATAAATCACTATACCATATAGTTCTATCCTTAGCAGAATTTGTCAATACTTTTTAGGTTTAGGTTTGAATGATTGTCACGTTTAGTGATAGTAATGACTGCATTGTCATGAAGAACCGATAGCAAAATCTCACTTTGAGGTTCATTGTTGGAAATGTAAACATGCATTGACAAATTTAATTTTATACATTGTATCAAGAAAAAAGTGTTGACCAAATAAACTAGCGGAACCTGTTTACACAACACATTTTTACAGAGTTCTTGTTGCAGGCAAGGATTTGTATAGTAGCATATCTTACTATACAAATCCTTGTTGAAGGCCTTACTTTTAATTTCTGTGTCATTTTGGTCTCTTGTGGAGAGTTGTCTCATTGGCAATCATAACATATCTTCTTTTTTATATTTATTTTAAACTTACTTCCGCTTTTCTGTAATACTTGTTTGTACTGGAACAACTGTTTGTGTTAGGATAGGGTCATATCCAGTCAGCAGAGATGGACTCTGTGGACTGAGAGGGGGTCGACTGTCACTGATAAGTGATGCTGCCGACTCATAGAGATCCTGGCTGGCATTTTCTTCTGGTAATGTGGCAGTGATAGTTGGTGGATCTGTAATAAATGAGAGAAAATTGACTTGTTGATACTGTGTTTGGGTATTTTATCTATCTGTTTATAGGGGGCCGGGACAATGGAAACATATCATCATACATTAAATTCAGATACAATGTACTTTAAATTGCAAGTAAAAAAAAAATTGCACAAGACTAAATAAGACCCTATTTCAACCCTTTAAATATTATTATGGGTTTCAGCTATAAACTATGTGTTCCTGTCTATGTTCAGACTGCAACAACAAATAGATAAACTTTATTCCGGATTTATGATAACCAGTCCGTATGTGTTTTAGTATTATAAATCATGACTGGTTTTCGCTCCAAATTATCTACTGTGGTTCCTTTTAATCTAACAACAGATACCAGTTTGAAGACGACTTGGCGGGCACCTGCCACTTGTGAACAAATGTTGAAAATAACACTTTAAAACCGTTATCAGTTTAAACAAATGCAATCTTGCAATAGTAAAACAAGAGCAGAACATTCAAACCAACAAGAAACACGTTGGCAATCATTTAAGTAATAGAAAATTGGTCAAAATAAATTGTTTTCAGTCACGTGATATCAGTTGGGAATTCCCCTACTTGTTGTGACGGCGGAGCAGACGAAACTTTTACTAAAATTGAATAAGGGAAACTATGTATCCCGGGATTAAAAAAGGCTACGAATATGTGTGTTATTTTCATCGAATTTCATTAAAAATTAACAATAACAATTAAAAAACACCTTCAAAACAAAATTTTGCCAAAAATTGTTTGTTTATGAAAATTAAAAACATTTAGTTGATTGAAACTGTTAAAGTTCACTTTTCACAAGGTGCAATAAAAAGGGTAGAGCCCTGAGAAGTTCTAATTAAGGGAAAAAAAACATTTGGGGATATATTCTTATGTGCTAAATATTATTTACATACTTGTCTGGAATGACTCTGTTTCAAGTCCACCCTGAATCCCTCTGAAGCTGGTGGTGTCCTTCATCAGGTGGATAACTCTCTCCACTGCTGTGCTGGGTTGCTTTGGAGCTGGTCCTCCCCCAGTTTTGAATATCTCATTCCTGTGTTTTGAATAAACGGCCTTGGCCACTCTTGTGGTGTTCCTCCATTTGTTTCGTACTTCTGTTGAAGTACGAATAGCAACTCCAAGATAATTTATCTTGATGGTAATCTCTTCCCAAATGTCTTTTTTTAACTTATTTGTTACTGTGTTTGTTAATTTTCCATTTATGATGTTGGAGTTTTTTTCCACAAGCTGTTGTATCAAGTCTTCTTCTGCCACAGTAAAATTGGTCTTCTTTAGCCTTTTTCAGTTTGCTTGGGGTTTGTTCAACTGGTTCAGCCATTTTTTTACAGACAGGAAGCTCATAAACAATGAATGATGGGTAGGTTTTATTTAATCACTTGATTAATCAGTTGATTAAATTTTAACGCATTGATTAATCAGTTGATTAAATTTTAATTCATTGATTATTTAATCAACGCGTTAAATATTGTTGAACAACAGAAAATAAACCACTCGTTATGTAACGACTCGTTAAAAAATTTAACGACTCGTTAAATTTAATCAATCGTTAAAATAACGACAAGATGAACAACAGAGCCCTGGCATTTCCTCCCTCATTACTGTAATGTACGCCTTTAGATATTGGACCGATGGAAACCATCCCGAGCTAAACAAGTATAAACCGATCATAAAAAAAACAAACAAAAAACAACAACAACAAAAAAACGGAAAAAAACGATACCTTTATGAAAAGTTGTACTTGAACCTTTCTTTGGTATTTCTACAGCAATTAAGCTTTGACTTGGAGTTGTTGAAGAAACTGTACCTAGAAAACAGCGAATCATAAATTGCATTTGTATATATTAATTAGATTGAAATTCTACTCCGTAAAGCCGTACGACAAAATGCTCTTTCAAATTATTAGAACGGCATTTTTCTTATCTAATTCAAAAATATCTAATCAGTAATTGGTTTATTAAATTGGCACAAATAATCTTCACCCATAATCAAGCTAAATATCATTTTAAGATAAATCATTTTGAACCATAAAAATCTGGCATTTCCTCCCTCGTTACTGTAATGTACGCCTTTAGATATTGGACCGATATTGGACCGATCATAAAAAAAAACAAACAAAAAACAACAACAACAAAAAAAACGGAAAAAAAAACGATACCTTTATGAAAAGTTGTACTTGAACCTTTCTTTGGTATTTCTACAGCAATTAAGCTTGACTTGGAGTTGTTGAACTCGGAGTTCAGTATTTTTCGGATTTAACTTTTTTCTTGTGTGTTACATTATAAAAAAGAAATCCAATGTCGTCCTCTGAACCATATATATGTGAAAATGTCTAAGCCATTAAACTGATTATCATACATGCACATATCAACGTTAATAATATAAACAGAGGAATTCAAGAAAATGTAACTATTACTTCATACTTGAATTATACATGTTCTGCTGTACATATTTACTCATTTACAGTGCTAACAAATGTGTTCTATTAAATACGTGAAGTACATACCTGTTCTGCACACAAAATATTGTAACTGGTCAAAGCAAACTTTTCTGGTAATATTTAGTTCTATTTTTTCATTATTTTGTGTAAACGAGCCTGCTAAACAGTAGAGAGGTTTTTTGGTACCTGCTTCGGCTGGAAATGATTTGATAGTTTGACATATATCATTACTCAAATATAGGTTGAACATATTCTATAAAAAAGACCTCGTTAACACTTGAATATACTGTTAAACAAGTGTAAGGACTATTTCTATTAAGATATTATCATCCGATAACAAAAGAAACTGAAGCTCGTACATAATTACGAGTTCAAAACGAAACAAAAGAACATTCATGGAAGTGTATTGTATGTGTTCATATATAAAAACAATTGTCAACTATTATATTGTTGTGATAAATAAAAACAATTCATTCGCCCAAAAAAAATAAGAAATGAGTCGGTTTTGTCAAAGTCTTTGACATTGCGATCATGATAATGAGGGCTCGGTGATATACTCAATAAAGTAAGAGCTTAAACAACTACCGTTGACGATTGGCATTATGCCAACATGAGATGGATTACACTTATTAAATATTCTGACGGTTTATTACATTATTTTGTGTTTTCTTTTCAAATTAAGAAATTGTAGCTAGAATGTATGAAAAATGCTCATAGTTCTGAATTTTGAACTGTCTTTTACATATTTTAGTGGTTGTCTTAATTGTATTACACTTTATCGTAAGACTTGTATAGTTTCATTAGAAATAGTAAACCTTAAACAATGTTAATAACTCCTGCAAGCTTTCTTTCCAAATATGTGTATGGTTATTAATGTATATCAGCTTAGTTTCTGAGATAATGTTTCCTTTAATTGTACCACATTTTTGTCCCTTCCTTATATTTATAAGAAAACATATGGATATACTATACACTAAATAATGTCACGAGCTATTTATTCGCGACTTTTGCCAGTAGAAAAATAACGCGAAAATAAATTGCCACGAATATGTAAAAGTTGGTTCGTATGTGTGTATAAAAAAGAAGATGTGGTATAATTGCCAATGAGACAACTCTCCACAAAAGACCAAACGACAGAGAAATTAACAACTATAGGTCACAATACGGCCTTCAACAATAAACAAAGCCCATAACGCATAGTCAGCCATTAATGGTCTCGAAATGACACAATGAAAATAATTCAAACGAGAAAACTAACGGCCTAATTTATGTTAAAAAAATGAACGAAAAACAAATATGTAACACATCAACAAACGACAACCAATATGTAACACTGTGTTTATCAAATTAATGAGAAATAACGAAATTCGATAGCCTAAAAGTTGGCTAAATGGGATGAATGAGATATTTAGTATTCGCAAAAATAACTTGATTTACAGAAACTTCTCGAGAACTTATTGATTTACCTTGTGATAGCTTAGCTTCGGTTTCCGCTCGAAAAACATTTGTCCAGGAAGAAACTGCTTCGTTTTCATGACCATCTAATTTACAGTAAGTTTCAGGTGGAAGCAAAAGCTGATATATACTCATGCACCGTTGTCTGCTTGTTGAATACGGTCTACCCCAACCAAGTAATGACCCGTTATCTTGGAAAAGATTTTGAGTATAAATAAAATTCGAGATCAATGACAAAAAAATTACTTAATAAGAAAATAACAGAATATTATTTTTTTTAACTTTATATGTCGTATCCATTTACAGTCCGGACATGCATTGAAACTATTTTCAGTTATATAAACATCTTTCACTCACATGATCAATGTCAGTGTAAAATACAATAAGTAAAACTTAGTCATCCCGATAAAATATTTAGGTGTCTGAAGACTGTGTGTCCAAAAATTCGCTTTGTACGCATCAACTCTTTGATATCATTTAAAGCATGATATTCATAGCTAAGAGGAGTGAAAAGATACGTAGGAAATCGTTTTATGATCCCTTTAAGCTGTCGTTAATAAATATAAACCCTTATGTAAGTGGTATATTTGTCTGTATGTAATATAGATTTTTATCAATAAAATAAACCAGGGGGTCTCACCATTGCCCTTTGCCCTTTTTCCTGACATTTTGACATTTTTTTTGCTGTAAAGCGACAATCTAAGACCTCCGTAGATATCGAAGATGACATTATTCTAGGAAATCCTGTTGACACAATCTTAATATAAACAGTGTCTAAAATATCATTGATTTTTATGGACATTAAAAAACTAGGGGGGTCTCACCGTCATTTAAGCGGTCTAAGGTAGGTTTACACTGTATATTTTGGCACTTTGAGCCTTCCGTAAACATAGAAGACAAGAAAGCTATCCAAATTCCTTTTAATCTCGTGTGTATCTCTATCTTAACTAACTTTCTGCATAATATTAGGAAGATTGAAAAATCAGGGGGGTCTAGACATCGCCCTGTGCTCTTTACCCTGACTTGTTGACGATTTTTAACTGACATGTGACAATTTAAGCCCTCTGTATATATCAAAGATTATACTATGCTGGGAAATCCTTTTGATACCATCTGTAAATATATGTTACAGTGAATTTGTGTAATCAGTGATTATGTAGAATCCCTAAAACTTTCATGGATTATGAAGAATCACTGGTAAGTTTAGGGATTATATTTAATCACTAAAATTATCAGGGACTATGTATAATCTCTAGAAAAAACGTCAGGGATTATACATACTGAAATAAAGAATTCTTATTATTTATTAATAAAATGAATAAAAGTTAAATCATTTATTCTATAAAATCATATGATAACATCATTAAAAACATAAATGGTTAAATATTAAATACAATATATGAACATGATAACCTCAATATATTAAAATGTTAAGCACAATATATCAAATGTTGAGCACAATAAGTTAAATTGTTAAGCAATGTATTGAATAAATAAGCACAATTTATCAAGATATTTGTAAAAGTTAACGTCAACGGACGCTGGACGCCAAGTGATGAGAAAAGATCACTTGGCCGTTTGGGCCAGATGAGCTAAAAAAGGGAATCAACAACCTCGTACTGATTACTAGTATAAGTTCTGAGCAGGATACAATATCTTGAGGCCAGGCGATATCCCTTTTCATTTTTTTTTTCGTGAACAATTGCCAATATGTTTTTGGGATCTCCCTTTCCTCTAACAACATATGGAATTGGTATGTCAGCACATTACACCCAATCTAAAATTTTGTTTAATCTGTCAATCATTCTTTCTGACTGTTCTGAATGTGAGTTTGAAGTTCTTGTTTATTTGAACACAAAAACACAAAACAGATGTTCCATAACCTTCTTCTGTTCTTCATCGTTTGGTTTACCACAAATACATGTAACATGCACTGTGGATTTACAATTAGAACACCAATGTGCATTTGATGCTGGCTTTTAACAAACATAATAGAATAGAATAGAATATCGTTCATTGCTAATCACAGCGCCCAAATTTGAGCTGAATTATTACATTAAATGTATATACAATGACTACAATGATTGTTTAAAACTATACATATAAAGTTATCGCTATGAAGTGAATATTGATTTTAATAATTTTGACGTCTTCAACGTTATCTCAAAACCCTGTGTTGGTTATATCATTAAGGTCATCATATGTGCTTAAAAGCGAAATTATTTCATCTGGCAAGGAATAAGAAAAAAAAACCAAATGATAATGTGTCTATACTAAAAAAAAATTAACAGGCAAACAAAGGCTCTTTGAATGATTGATTATCCCTGAAATCATATTAGGGAATTTGTAGAAAAATGATTAAAATGATCAGTAATTATGTAAAATCATTGGTTATTTTCAGGGATTATATATAATCACTAATGATTATAGTGATTCTACATAATCTATGAAAGGTCAGGGATTCTACATAGTCCCTGATGATACAAATTTAATGTAACATATACATTGTCTAAAAGTTCATCGAATTTTATGGACATTCAAATACCAGGGCGGGTCTCACTGTCATTTAAGAGGTCTAAGGTAGGTTTTTACTGTATATTTAGAATATAAAAGTTGCACTTTTAGCCCTTCGTAAATATAGATGACAAGAAGTTTACCAAATTCCTTTTGGTCTCGTTTGTATATCTATATTAACTAACTTTCTACATACTATTAGGAAGATTGAGAAATCAGGACGGTCTAGACATTGCTATGTGCCTTATGACCTGAATTTTTGACAATTCTTTACTGATAAGTGACAATTTAAGCCCTCCATAAATATCCTTTTCAAACCATCTGTATATAAACATTGTCTAAACGTTTATCTAGTTTTATGGACATTGAAAGACCAGGATGGTCTAAACGACATTTAAGCTGTCTAAGGTAGGTTTTCACTATATATGTTTTTTTTATTTTGGCTATTCCTAACTATTTCTA